CATATGATTGTTGGGTTTTTCTCTGTACCTATGAAGCGCCTTGAGGCGACTTTTGTTGTGATTTGGCGCTATATAAATAAAATTGAATTGAATTGGAATCACACAATACTTGCTGATGCTTTAATTGCATGTGATGCAACAACTACAGATTGAAGTTGTCTCTGCATCACTTGATCCTGATGCAGAAACTTGATCCTGTGACCCTGACCATCACAGGATCAAGTCTTTGTGTGTGTCTGTGTATTTTCCCCTATGCAGCTATTTTAACACTGAGGTCATATGGTCATTTTACACAATCAAGTATTTGGATAAAGGGTTTAGATTAATGTGGAAGACCCAACAGTTGTGAGCTGGCAATTAGTTGATTAATTTTGCTGAAGACAGCGTCCACATGTGAAGCAATGTTATCATATGCTGGCTTGTTAGTAGAATAAGTCTGAAAGAGGCCTAATTTTCTCAGACCAATCCAAGGTCTGCAAAAGTTTTTCATATCTAAAAAGGACACCATGTGTGTCTTCTTGTGTGGTTTCAGCAACTGCAAAATAGCTTGCTTTCTGATTTGATCTGACACTCTGCCTTTCTGTGAAATCATATAACCAGGGCCGTGCAGAGATGTTTAAAGGGGCTGGTGCTCAAAGTTTAAAAGGGGCACATTGAACCAGGCTGAATAACAACAACACACATTAATCAAGAATCTTATATGGGATTGCATCATACTATATCACTGTTGTGAGGTGGCGACAAGGCAAAGCAAACGTAGCCTATGTTTTACCTGATGGGTACAATGTTGCTGTTGAGGGGTTGCTGCTGATAGTGCTGGAGGGCAGGGCTGTGTTAATCTGAGACTGTAGACATTAAAAAGTCCACAGGAGAGATGGTAGCTGATTAAACAAGTGTCATCAGACACTAACAAAATGCAAAGATAGGTGACAGCGCTTGGAACCATAAGGCAACAAAGAACTGTGAGAAATAAACTAAGCTCTGCTTGTGAATCACTCTTTGCCTCTCTTCCTCCTTCTATTTCCTCATCTCAACTATCACTCTCAACTTGCTGTCCATCTGAGAACAAGGCACAAACTGCTATTGCAATAAATTATTTTTTATTTATCCACACTTAACAACTCTTGCAATTAATCTATAATAAAATGATGACGGAAAAATGTTATAGAAGCATAACATTCCTGGAATACCTCTCCAACAACTGGTACATGTGTTAATGTTACCTGTGCTCTTTGTAATCCAGCTGCTGAGGGATCCACTGCCTTTAGTAGCCTCACACAGCTCCTACTGTTTCCTCCTCATGTCCTTACCAGGCATGTCTGAACAATGTTAAACAATGAGTAATAATTTAAAAAATCTATACATATAAAACACACACAAGCAAGTACACACAGTGACATTTTAAAATAAGCTTTGTTATGTACATTCAAGATTCCAGGTTGGTAGTAATATAGCTGTTGGAGTGATTTTATTTAGCTGTGGCTTTTTTTTGCACCCCTCCCCACCACCCCACCCCGCACGTTCATGTGAGTGCATGTACGTGTGCGTGTCCCCCTGTAGCAGGTGGCTTTGCTCTTTCACGTGAGTTCAGGGTTCATGTGAGTTCATAAGTGTTTAATTTTGTGTTTAATTTAATGAAACCATTATGTGTTTTAATTAAACTGGGTTTAATGATCGCATATGTCTCAGCGTTCTGTTATTTAGACATAGATAATTTAATTTAACTAGTTTAGGAGAATTTCACTTTCTTTTGTGCTCCGAAAGAGACAGAGCCTAGTAGTTTTTAAACAGAGTGCCACAAATAACATTTATCCCTTTAGAAATAAACTTTTCTTGTGATACTTCAAAAAAAACACATATTCACACCTAGTCACTAGTCAATGTTCCTTTAATGCAACTACCCCTATAATTATCTACTAGTCACACAAACATACTGCAACAGTAAGACTTGATGATTAGACACAGGGGTTACAGGTGGGGCCCTAACAGTCAGCAATACAAGTCATAAAAAACAATATATGCTGTTATCAAGAGCATCCCAAGACACACACCCTAATTTACACTCATCAACTGCACCTCCATAGTTTCCACCTTTTTCTTTACAACCTGCTCTTTATCTCTGCATGCAGGGGCAATTCTAGGATTAGAGCTTTGGGGGTGCTGAGCACCCAGAGAGCTGCCCAGCCAGGCAAGATAAACGTTTCACGTCACGATGAGACTTCTTCCCTGTCTCTGTCAGTCCCTGCATCCTTAAATGTCTCCAGTTGTCCCGAGTTCTCTCTGACTGTCACTTTGGTGCATTTAAACCCCTGTTCCTCCCTGTCCTCATCGTCTGTTGTCTTCATCTCTGTTATCAGTCGTCATAATTTTACCGTCTCTGTGCAAGTCTGCAAATTTCTTTATTAAATCA